CACATATCTAAAAAGCGTCACCGTAGATGCACGCACATGTGGGCTAACGGCAATAAGCATGAACACCATGGTGGTAGCTCACATGCCCCAGTGCGCTGAAACATCTCAGGCATGCCATGCCAATGCCAACCACGTGAGACAGCTTGAATCTCGGGAGTGGTGCTGCAGATTGCTGCGGCGCAGGACTTTGGAGTCAATTCTTGACGGCTGACCCGATGCATGCAAGACTGAGCAGATGCAGGCCAGTTCCAAGCACGGCCTGCCTTGACATTGCCACGAGAGTCAAAACCATCTAACTGATTCACGATCTCCAGCATTGTTCGTTGGACCTGTCAAGCAACAAAGGCAAACTGCCCCGCAAGCATGGATGGAAGGGTCAAACATCGTGGCATCCTCTACCTCTCAATTCGAATCGATGCCAGCCCTGGTTGAAATTCATCTTTTGGCGGTGATCCCAAAGAGCACGCCGACCCGCCTCGCTATCACTGTTGCCTTCATCTCCGCCACGGGAGCCACCGATGGCATCCACCTCGTCGATGAAAAGGATGCAGGCTTTCTTTGTCCTGGTAGACCCATCGCGGCAGGGCAACATGGTCAACGGTTTTACATGAAGGCGCTGGGATTTTGAGGCATCCAGGTGCGCGTTTTTGTGTTGTAGATACGACGGCCGTCTTTCCAAATTTCTGCAACACCGACCGCGGCTGTGAAGTCCTGGCAAGCTGGAAGAGCTCGCGCACCATGCGTGCTCCTTCACCGACATAGCGTTGGACAAGCTCGGAGCCGATGACGCAGATGAAACAAGCATCTGTACCTCAGCTCCACATCCACACACAAAAATGCAGCAGCGATCGGTTTGGAAAGTGGAGACGTGTTCAGAGTTGGAAGTATCACGTGCAAAGCTCTCACGAGATGGCATGCGACATTAGTTGTCAGAATGCTTCTTGTCGAAGTTAGAGTAGCGAAAGAGCGAAGTCCCACTTGCAAAGCTGTGTAAGATCCCCGCGATTTGCCACTGCACGTGCGGTCAGCGTCTTCCCTGTGCCGGGCGGCCCATACAGCAGCACACCCTGACACGCCAAGGCAACCCTCCAATCGTGAGATGTCGTGGACAGCACTTCGCCTGGCCTTGGGCGGGTCAATGCCTAGAGCAACGAACCGCTCGGGTTGGAGCAGTGGCATTTCCACAACCTCCCAAAGGGGCAAAGCAAAGCTGGAGGCTCCTTCGACCCATCTGTCTACACTGTCTAGTGGAGAATTACTGTGCCAGGTCTACATTCGCGCCTCTCGAAGCCGCTCCAGCTGCTCCTTGGCGCCACCCACGTCATTGTAAGTGACGTCAGGCTTCTCCTGGAGAATCATGCAAGGAAATGCAAGGAACATGCCTTCGTTCTCTTACCAGTCAGCTTGTTTAATCATTTGGAATTTGGACGGCATATGTTTAAAATTCGTGTTTAACGCGTTGGGTCGTTTGGATATGTGACCAAGTCACAGTGTCTCTTGCTTGCTTGCTTGCTTGCTCTCTCCGTTCTGTTCGGTTCTCCGGGGTTCGAGGAGCGTGTGAAGCTCTCCGCGCCGAGTGGCGCGCCCCTGCTTGGGGGCCTTATGGGGGCTCGGAAAAAGACATGGGTGCTCGGTGTGCGGCAGCAAGGTCTAAGGCATGGTTGCAAGGTTTACGGAAACAACAATGACACACCCGGTACAATGTCACCAGGGCTTTCCCGTGTCTTTCAGAGAGGAACTACAGTCGACGGGTTCTATTCCCCCGAAGTGGCCATGCGCCGTTTTCCACTTGCAGCTGGAAACCAACAATATCATCCTATCAAGCAGCACTCCATCGCAAACAAGACAGTGTTCCCCTTCGTCGAACAGGGAAGGTCAGACTGTGTCCTAGCAGTCCCCCGGTCCTCAAGCAGCGAAACAAACCAGCATGAGCTCGGAAAACCAAAGACAGTAGGAGTGAGTCAAAAGGAGGACCGATGACCCCTCAAGAAAGTATGTGTGAGACCAATCCTCAAGTTCAGTCATCTGCAACAGGCTAAAGTAAGGATAGAACGGGGACTCACTTCACTTCACTTCACTTCAC